AGCCACCTATACTGAGATTCACCAAGAATCCTCGTCGATACAAACGTTCAGCAGCTAAAATCTGGAGGAGCACAAAACAGAAAACGTGAGTAGGCAAAAACAAAGCTTTCAATAGATCCCTCAAACCGATACCCTTCATTCCTGGAACCCAATCTATTACCATCTCCAAAAATCCTTTTGTCAAGCAGCTCTCATCTACAACACAACATCCAAGTAAAGGAAAATTAATCTCATCAATATTTTGTTTAATGATAAATTGGCAAAAGGAGTATTTAGGGCCTCTATGGAATGCTTCTGACAAAGCTAAATGCACTTTCTAACAACCAAAAGCACTTCCGACTATATTTCGAAGAAAAACTTAAAAGTGCTTATGATTATGTAGAAGGGTGTTTTGGATTCATGAATAAAACCAGTTGGATTTTTGATAAATTATGTACAAATTTATAATAAAAGCACTTACGCAAAAAATCTTACAAGCAGAAGTGCTTCAGCTTCTCACCTTTCAAAGGTGCAAGTCCTTTTTCCACCAAAATAGGATATTGTTTAGAGCCCATGAAGCCGGCTGCAGCAAAAGGAAGGAGGACTACGATAGGAATTCCAAGCTCTTTAGCAGCTGTGATGGTCGATGTCACAAAACCATCTGAAACCATACAAGTCACTGGAGGATTACTGTCATTCAGTTTCTTGAGGAGGTTACGCAACGGAGCCAAGAAGTTCTTTCTGATGGACTCTTGAAGCAAAGGGAACTCTTGGCGGGGATTGGTATCTGAAAGGCCATCTGGGATTGTTTCATACCGGAAGTCAGGCAAGCCATCGAGGGAGCTGGGGCCAAGAAATTTAAGAAAGCGCTTGTGGTTGTACTCTGTGTTAACAAAAGCTATGTGAAAGCCTTTGTGGTGGAGGAGCTTTGCAAGTTTTAGCATTGCCGTTACATGGCTTGGAAGTGGAAGCGGTGTACATACAGCATGAGGCTTATTGCCTACTACTTTATGGAACTAGTCATCTCATATATCTCTAGTCTAAGACAGGACTACTATATATATGTATTGTATGTATATATGTCATATACATTTTGTATATACTTCAAATTTGTATGATGGTGGTTCGGATAAACAATGGACAGTTGAGTTTGCTCTTTGCATTTTTGACCTATGTCGCACGTGGTAACAGTTTCTCTTTGTCCTATGGAGTGGAGGGCTGCTTGGTTATCACAATCAACACTAACTAAGGAGGTATTCATTCCAGCATATTTTCCTATATCAACGTTGATTGGATTCTAACCTAGGTAAATATGTTGTGATTGTTGACTTTCTCAACACTCCTCAAGTTGGAGAGTGAATATCATGAACGCCAATTTTCCTAACAAAGAACAAAAGCATTTCTTGCCTAAGGCCTTGGTAAAAATGTCATCAAACTATGATGTGGATGGAACAAAGCCGGTGACGATCTTTCCTTCCATAATCTTATCTCGAACAAAATGGCAATCAAACTCAATGTCTCTTGTTGCCACTTAGTACTACGGTCTAGTGGTTTTCCTCTTCACTTGTGAGAGGTTTTAGTTTCAACTCTTGCCAAAGACGAATTAGAGCCATGTTATTGCTATCCCTTATGAGGACACTCTCTCACCGCTTTAGTGTAGATAATATTGTTTGTTAAAAAAAATAAAAAACTCAATGTCTCTTTTTCGTTCATGAAACGCGGGATTGGCAGCACCATGGAGAGCTGCTTGGTTATCACAAAAATAGGGTGACCGGCCCTCTGTAGTACGAGTACTTCTTAATATTTCCTTGATCCATAATTTCCAAGGTTACAATATACAAATATTATAGGAAGATTCATATGATTGATCCCTAATACAATTGATACAAAGCTAATTAATACAATCAACACTAAGTAGGAAGGTAATCACTCCAAGTGCTAAAAGTTAGTCCTCTTGCTCATTCATGTGTCTTTTCTATGACCTAATCAGATTATAATCCACAAGGATTTTTCAAATCTTTGCAACATCAACTTGTGGGAGAATTATACGGTAGTACAGTACCACCAGCTGGCATTGCTGAGTGGTGATACGTTCCACTAGAATTTTGCCATCTGTAGAATTTAATACATGTCAGCAACAACTTAACACAAGAAACGTCACTGGATTTGACCACCGCCTGCGGTGGTATACCGGTGGATTAAAATGAAATTGCAGATGGTTGATAGAATCATTGATTCACCGTTCAAGATTAAGAATTTCTCGAATAAAATTTGAAGAGGAGTTTTATGCAAAAGTGAGGAAGAGGAAACAAGAACGATGGAGGCACAATCAAAGGCTGTTTGGTTGAATGAGAAATCAGATTCAGAAAATCCATGGGCGGTGGCTTGGCTTCCAACAACCTTCGCCATCGTTTCCAAGAAAATTAATTTGGGATTTTCTCCCATCTTCTTGAAACCTACAGGTCTTCCCAAATCCCAATTATCCAATGTAACGACCCGTCCCAAATTTTACGGTTTTTATAATTTTAAACATGAATTTATGAAAATGCCCTTTGAGGCGAAAAGTGTTGACTTTTGTTGACCGTATTATCATGTCGCACACGGCACTTTTCCTTGGCATATCCTTGTAGTGCTTGTCGCTACGAACACGTGGGCGCAAGCGAAATTGAATTTGGAGCTAGAACGTGAATTTTACGGAATCCGATGTGTTAGGGGTATTTTGGTAATTTTGCATCTGCATAATATTTTGCGTTTCGTCTTTTTTCCCCTTGGTTGGTGAGCCTGTGGGGCCCACCCCTAATTTTTGGTCCCTCGGTTCTCTATTCCTCTTATCTCTGCACTCTTCTCTCCCATCCTCTCCTAGGCACGGACGCACACAAACAAACAATGACGGCAACACCTCCACCACGATTCACGCTGGCGAACCACCATCTAAATCTCTCCGTCTCGACCCCAGGCCAAGGTCCCAGAACTCTGGCAGTGGCATAGATCATTGTTCACTGTCTTCCCCAATGAACCCACGACGAGTTCTCGCCATCCCCGACGTAGTTAAGTGCCTAGAACCCTTTAGATTGTGTTTTAAGGTTAGATTAGGGTGGTTTTTAAGTTATACTCCCATGTTGGAAGCAAAAACAGCTCGGGGGAACCTTCCCCAGTTTGTCAACGAATGAACCTACTTTTGCAAGCATTTTCCGGCCAACTTCGGCCACCACTTGGTCTTTGTTTGGTACGAATCTATTCTCCTTATTCCCAACTTCATTTCCATAGGTAGAACATTGTTTTTGGTGGAGAAATGAGCTCGAATGAAGCTCTAGAAAAATAGACTAGAATTCAGCCAGTTTGAGGCCTTGCGGGCGCATAGGCTGAGCATGGTGTTGCAGTGCCTAGCGCATGGAGCACACGCGCCTTCACCAGAGGTATTGTGCTTCGCCGCCATCCACGGGGGCGCCGGTGACTTTTTCGACGACCCAAATCGACGCATGGCGGTGCGTGGGGGAACACGAGGTCCTTCCTTAGATTTTTCGACTTAACGAATCCGAATCTAACATTCATTTTCTCAAATTCAATCGTTTTAGTAAGGTTTTACTAATTGGTCCCTTTATGTGCTTAGGTGCGTTGTTAGTGGCGATCCCGAACTCCCTAGTTCGAACAGCTCCTCGGCAACATAGTATCTGTGAGTGGACTCCTTCTTAAATTGCATTATTTTATTAAATGCTAGGCTTGCATTCACAAAAACCATGTTTTCATGATTTTACGTTTTACGCATTATTTATGATTTATTTACAATTTATTGAATATACGGTTATGAAAGATTTACAAACCATGGCTTTTTACGCTTTACAATATATGATGGATTCACGAATATGAATTTATGATTTCACATGATTGATTTATTATGGTTTATGAGATGATACTTTGAGCTTTTGAGCCCTGATGATTTGATACGAGAAATGTGATTTATGTTTTTTGTGCTTAATTAGTGGGTATACATCACATACACATAACCTGAGTATGTATACGTGGCTATAGGACACAGTTAAGGATATTTATGACATACTCTCAGCTTCACTGGTTAAACCAGTGTTGGACAACTTCACTAGCCAGGGCTAGTGTCAGTGTGTTATGTTATGTATATGTTTCTTCTCTGGCATAACCTAGAGTTGTACAGCTTCACCTTCGAGTGATGGGGCCTACCATGTTTCTTCACTGGCGTAACCCAGTGTCGTACAGCTTCACCTTCAGGTGATGGTTTTGCCTTCGGGCGACTATGATACCCCTAGTTGAGTACATCATTGGTGTGACTATGGATGTTCTACTGATTTGCCTTCAGGCGACTATGTTATCATTACTGAGCACTGTTTTATACCTACATGTTTTATGAATGTTTTCATGGCAAGTTAGGGGTTTTCAGAAAACCTATTATGCAGTATTATACGTGTTTTCAAAACAGGGGGTTAGTATGTTTAAAAAAGAAAAATGATTTTCTTATTCTTATTACTATTATAAACTTTGGTCCACTCACGTTTTGTTTTGCGCCCCCTTCAAGATTTAGAAATGAGGCGTACGATACCGACGTCAGGGCACTCCCACATCGGTATCTTCAAACCTTATCTGAGTAGGACCCACTCTTTTGTTCGTACCATTTTATATTAATTCTTTCACAATATTCTTGATTAGTTGTTTGCTCTAAACACGTTTCCGCATTTGTTTATTTCTTCATATTTACATATTTTATTTACTTTCGTTTACCGATATCACTTGCATACTAGTTAGTATGGCTTCGTTACTCTAGGGTGTCGGCCATCATGTGCCCATCCTGGTATTTGGGGATATCGGGACCGGGGCATGTAATCCAATGTTAGAAGATATAATTGCACAAAGATGGCAGATTAAAAAATAAAGTATTTGGTCAGTAAACTCGCCGTCGCCGGTCCAGCAAGCTTTTGGGTGGTGTTGCCATGGCAGAGGATCAGTATAACCTCCGTTTCGGTTTTTAACGTCGGAGTAAATGGCTTTTTGGTTTTATATAACGTCGGTTTAAACAGCTTAAGCTTATGTGTATTTGTTGTACACATGGCAAAATTTTAGTGGACACGTACTACTACTCAGCAAAGCCAGCTGATGGTACTGTATCGCTGTATATTTTCTCCAACTTGTGCTAGCTTCTAAACAATTAACTCCAACATAGGAAATCCGACTACTTTCACCGACAAATTAAGCGGGGAACAAACAGAAAAAAGCATACTGTTTTCAGTTTATTCATAAGGATGCTGCTAACCGAGTACAGGAGCCTCAGCGAAGCGCATCTAGTCGCGCAGTACATCGCTATTATTTAATAGCACTTGCTTCACCAAGTTGTCTAAGTTTTTGGATGAAGAACCATGCGGACCGGTGGCTTCTTCCGCAAGTTTCTTCCACTCTATGGCCTTATTTTTCATTTTCTTGCCCTTCTCCCCCTCCATTAATTCTCTAACAAGCTTCTCCACTTCATCTCTCTTCACTTTACTATCGATTTCCATGCCACTACCCCATTCGTTGCAAGTGAAGTAACAGTTTGTCTGCTGGTCGCCGAAGAGTGGCCAACAGAGCATAGGCACTCCGGCAGACAAGCTCTCAATGGTTGAGTTCCAGCCACTGTGTGTTAAAAACCCTCCAACCGATGGGTGGTTGAGGACTTTCTCTTGTGGGCACCAACTTACTATCATACCTCTTTCCTTGGTGTCGGCCACAAAGTCGGGTGGCAAAATTGCTGTTTCCCCGGCAACAAGATCAGGCCTAATTATCCACAGGAAGGGATGATTGCTATTTGCAAGTCCCCAACCAAACTCGATAACATGTTCAGGTGTCATCACTGCTAGACTGCCGAAATTCACATAAATAACAGAGTTTGGTGCCTTGGCGTTTAACCATTGGAGACACTCGGTTTCTTCTTTCCATAGACTGTATCCCACAGGCTTCAAAGGGTGTTCTGGTATCTGATTGAGAAGTAGTTGGAGTGGGCCAATGGCGTAAACAAGTGGAAGCATAGATGAGAGAGCATCCAAAACATCTTGCTCCAACGCATCAAAAGTGTGAAAAACAACAGCTGAAGCTTTATGAGCTCTGTCCATTGCTTCAACGGTGAAGTTAAGGAAGATGTCACTATCCCAGTAGGGGAGAGCCCTTAACCGTACACCGTTCATTCCCGGAGTCCAGTCTATTACCTTGTCCAAAATGTCATCTGTCAAACAGCTTTCATCTACAACACCCAATCAATCATGTCATATTTAAGCAACAAGCAATAAATCATTAAAATAAAATAAATTCTTCAAAATTTTCACCTTTTAATGGTGCAAATCCTCTTTCTACCAAAGCAGAATAGTGTTCAGATCCCATTAAGCTGCATGCGGATGCAGCTAAAGTAAAAAACAGCGCGATAGGGAGTCTAAATTCTTCAGCAGCCGTGATAGTAAACGTCATGAGGCCGTCTGAAACAATGCAAGACACCGGAAGACTAACATTGTTGGAAGCTGCCATGTCGTTGAGTTTTTTTATAAGGTTACAAAACGGAGCCAAAAAATTTGTTCTGATAGAATCACAAAGCAAATAGGGGTCTTGGGCGGAGTCTGCATCTGAATCTGGAAGGCTATCAGGAATTGTTTCAAACCGAAAATCAGGGAAGCCATCAAGAGAGTTGGGTCCGAGAGATTTAAGAAAGCGCTTGTGATTGAACTCTGTGTTGACAAAGGTTATGTGAAAGCCTCTATGGTGGAGGAGTTTTGCTAATTTCAGCATTGCCTTGATATGGCTTTGAAATGGAACCGGAATACATACGGCGTGAGGCTTATCACCTACTGCTATGGAACTCATCTTCGATTTGCATTCTCACAAATGCAAGCAGTCCGAGCTTTATAGGCAATCGACCATTTTGCGGCGTTAAATGTCAGCGAGTCCAATAAATAATGGACGGCGAGGTTGATCTTTCTTCTGTACTTTTATTTGAAGGGCCATACTGGGGTTGGAGATTACACGCACAGGCTGAAAACATTTTCATTACTAAGGCGGCGCTTGTGGAAGAAACACGCGGAAAGAGTAAAGAAAATGTGAAGCGACAATTACCCCAAAACTACATCTCTAACTAAAGGCATGGGTGAGAATTTACTGTCGTTGAACATATCAAACCAATCAGTCTTACCAAGGATCTTCAGCTCAATGGACTAAAAACCAGAAATTTTTCAGCTCACTGGAGCATTCACTTATATGGAATCCCATTCTAACAAAGGATTCTCGTGGTTTCTGAGGATCTAGCTACAGGAGAGCCAGGAACGGAGCTTTTTCCACCCAACTCTGAATTGAAATGTGTAATTTCTATTGAGAAATGAAACGATGGCCGAACATCATATCCTCAACTTCTATTCACTTGTTCCACAAGTTTCTCAGTCAAATTAAAAAGGAGTAATTAGGTTTTCATCCTTATTTTTACTACTCTATTGATTAAAACCTTATTACTTTTCAATTTTTGATCAAGGTCCTTTGTATTAATAATATCATTAATTATTTCAATAATAAAATATTTTTTATTTCTAAATATATTCATTTAATATTAAAAATATTACAATTAGTATATTTATATTTATGGCTAAATTTTTTATCATATATTTTTATTTTTAATTTGTACCCATTTTTAATTTGCAACCCTTTTTTAATTTGTACCAATTTTCCTTTCAGTTTTAATTTGTACCCATATATTAATTTCTTTTTGTGCCCATATTTTTTAAAGTTTTATTTGTATTGTACCCATATTTTTTTTATTTATTTGTACCCATTTTTATTTTTGCTAAATGTACCCATTTTGAAGAATGTACCCATGTTTTGATACAATAATTTTTTGGTTATTTTTTATGAATGTACCCATGTTTACACACACACACACACAATAGTATATTTATATTTTAATATTTTTAATCCCACAAATTATGGTTTTTTATTTAAAATCTCATTACTATAAACAACTATAAATTTTAATTTTTAATTTAAAAAATATAGTAACGTACATAGAAATAAATTATCAATTAATTTCAGGGACTTGGATCAAAAATTGAAAACCAACAAGGTTTCAGTCAAAGACTATTCATAACTAGGGACCGCATCCAAAGTCTCCCAATTAAAAAATAGGACCTCAACTACCATTCAATTGCCAGCATTCATCACATCACATTACTGGCATAAACCATAAACTCTTCAATGCGGGAATCAAAACTAAGTAATTTCCATTGCGAAACGAAACGATGGGCAAACATAGGTCCTCAAGTTCTAAACACTCGTTCCACAAACTTCTCAAAACTATACACAGGTTTACCATGATTGGATTAATCCTTTCTTAAATTATCACATCAAGAAAGAACCAGTCCTGCAAACTTTCAACACAAACAGTAAACTCCAGCAAATGGTGGTGTTTCAGAAGTACATTGCACCTTAACCTGAAGGGCAGTCCCGCGCCCAGTGCCCTGGCTTGCCGCACTTATAGCAAGAGCCCCCTGAAGCAGACCGTGCCCCCATTTCGGCTGGAGCAGCATTATACGAAGGAACTGTTGGGCAATCTCTTGCCCAATGCCCTTCCTTTCCACACTTAAAGCAGGAAGAACCAGTAGTTACACCATACCCTTTGCTGTTTGCCTCGCTCAAACCACGACCTGGAACACCAGCGGCTGCCGCAATATGCTCATTGCACCACTTGAAGAACCCACAAGAGCTTCCCTAAACCAGCAAAACAATTAAGCCATTAACCAACTTCATTTCACTTCAAACACTCTGCTTTCGACATTAACTCAAACATATACCATACACGATACAGATTGCAAATTTGCAACAGAATTTTATCTAATTGTACCGAAATCAATGAATTAGGATCAACAAATTAAAAGGGTACCTCCTTAGCCGGACAACGGTAGAATTGGCTGCCGATATTTTTCCCAGTTTTGGCAGTTAAGATTAAGCAGACACCGCCACCGCAGGGACATTCTAGAGCTGGAAACGAAGAGTCAGATGCAGCATAGCTATGGCTTCTAGTAGCGCTACCAGTAGTAGCCACGGCATTTGGCCCAGTAGCAGCATTGTCACACCACTCAAAGAAACTACAGCCTCCATTTTCCTGTCAAAATTTAGTAACATTATACAAAATCAGTACCCATAGCATTCATTGTTCTCTTAAATCCAAAAGGTCGTAACCAGTGCACAACGGCTCCCGCTTTACGCAGGGTTTGAGAGAGGTGAATATCGGCTAACCTTTCCCCCATTTATGGAGATACTGCTCCCAAGTCTCGAACCCGAGACCTACCGCTCATGGGCGAAGACACTTGTCATCGCACCAAAAAAAAAATTAAACATAAAAGAAGAAATGGATATGGGTTTTTGAACCTGTCTCAGAGGGCATTTGTAAAACTTTCGACCCGGATTCTTCTCAGTATTTGCAGTGAGGACCAGGCAGGCTCCATACCCACAAGAGCAATTTTTCTCCGGAACAGAAATCGAAGAGTCGCCGCCACCGAAATTACCATAATACCCACCACCGCCTCCGCCTCCGCTGGGGGCATCACAATCGCGGGCCCAATGTCCCGGTTTCCCGCACTTGAAGCAGGTATCACCACCAGCGGAGACGCCATCGTTTCCGGCCGCCCCGACATTGACCCTCCCTCTGGATAATCCGCCGCGGGGAGTGTCAGGGACTGCTCGCTGGCTTCCTTTGAGAGCAGCGGTGTAGAGGCCGCCGCCGTCGTCGTCCGCGCCTAATTTCTGATTCGCGTGGGAATTGAAGGAAACGGCGGCGTTTTGTGAGGGCGCAGTGCTGATGCGACGGCGCTTGTAGGCGAGCGCTTCGGCCTCGGCCGCCGCTACCTGAGAAAGGAACTCGTCGTCGTCTTCGATCTCGATGGCGAAGCGTTTTGCTTCAGTCTTCATCTCTCTCTCTCTCTGAATTACTCCGCTCACAGCAGCAGCGAGGTAGTATTGGGAATTGAGGAGGCACTTCGATTTCGTATTTGGTTTTCGTTAAATTTTGATTTTGGCCCTCCTTTTCCCTCTCTCGCTAATTTTCCCGGCTTATTTTTTTTCTTGACCAAGTCCCGTATTTAAGTGATATTTACAAAATTTTCCAATTCAAAATAGGGATTTTAATTTAAGACCCTACTAAATGATAAAAGAATAATTAACAAACTTTACACAAAAGTGATTTGTTTTAAAGCAAACGACAGGGTAATTACACTAAGTTAGAGGGAATTGAGATTTAAGTGTAGAGGATGGATACGCTATCCAATTAACTTGGCTAAACTCAAATGTGCACAACAAAATGTTCTTGTTTAAAATAATCTATTTTCAGTCATGGTTGCTCATATAAATAGATTTTAGTATGTTGTCAATCTTTCATTGTGCCATTAAAATTTAATCAAAGTGTCGCCGAAAAATAATATTTGAGTTTAAATCTTTTTAGAGCACTTTCACCATCCCCTTTTGCCATGTTAAGGTGCTAAAACTACTGTCAAATACATGCCATGCCACCCATTTTTAGGAAATTGGCACCTTGGTATCGAGCCATGGAAGTCACTCAGGCTTCTTTTTTCCATAGGCTGTATCCCACAGACTTCAAAAGGTCTTCTTCTATTTGATTGCTAAGCAACTGGAGAGGGCCAATGGGGTAGATATGTGAAATCATGGATGAGATAGCATCCAAAATATCTAGCTGCAAGGCTTCGATAATATGAATTACAACTGCAGAAGCTTTATGTACTCTCTTAGTTGCTTCACTTGTTAAGAAAAACGCACTGTCATTCAGATTTGTTGTTCGTAGAAAGGCTGGAAGGTCTCTTAGACGGATATCTTTGATTCCCGCCTTCATGGTATTAAATCTATGACAGTGTCTAAGTAGCATTTGACAGATAACTCTCATCTTCAGCATTAAAAACAGTGAGTATAGTTAAATTAAAATATAAAAAATCAGATACACTAATGAGTTCTTCATTTTCTTGCACTTTCCCTCCACCTTTTAGTGGCGTAAATCCTTTTCCGGGGAAAGCCTGATAATGCTTGAATCTCTTGAAGCCACAAGCAGCTGCAGGAAAGAACAACACAATAGGAAGCTCAAGCTCTTTAGCCGCTGTGATTGAGAAGCTCATGAAACCATCTGAGACAATGCTCACTGCAACAATAATGGTCTAAGAACACAATTGATGTGTGCCCTGTTCAGTTTCATCGAACATAAATATGTATTTGTGCTTTTTTAATTTCAATGAACACAAAAGTTGTTCTGCTTTGCCGAGAGCTGTATCTGATCACAACTGTCTTCTTGTTTCGGCTTCCGCTACTCTAGTTTCGGGACCTCGACCTTTTCGGTTTTAGTCCATGTGTGGACATTATATTCTAGTTTTATTAATGTGGTAACTAAGTGCTGACAATCAACGAGTGCTTATGGGTGTCTTATATATGTTTGCTATTTTGTTAAAGCTTACGGTATAAAAGTTTGGATCCAATATATTTGAATGAATGTTCTGCTACAATTGCAGCAGAACTTATATACAAGATTATTACAGACGCATGCAATAAACAAAGGACAGAAAGTGGCATCCATGCTGTCCTTGTTGAAGCAGTCAGTAACCACATGCAGTGGCCTTGCTGTCCACGTTAATAGTGCATCCACACATGCTAACCTAGCTGTGAAGGAATGATCATATTCCTTCTGTCCATATTCCTTCTGTCTAGCATCAGAGTAGATCACCTTTAACACTCCCCCTCAAGTTGGAGTGTGGATATCAATAACACCCAACTTGCCAAGATGTGAATGGAAGGTAGGTGCTCTCAGTGGCTTTGTAAATATGTCTGCTATTTGACGTCCCGTCTGCACATGAGACGTCTCGATCTCTCCCCTCTGAATCCTTTCACGGACAGTATGACAATCCAGCTCTATGTGTTTGGTTCGTTCATGATACACAGGGTTCGCTGCAATATGTAGAGCAGCTTGATTGTCACAAAACAACCTTGCCGGCTCAGGATGATTTACACGCAAATCATTCAACAAATTCCTCAGCCAAGTAAGCTCACAAGTGGTTGCAGCCATGGAGCGATACTCGGCTTCTGCTGAAGATCTTGCCACCGTGACTTGCTTTTTACTTTTCCACGATACAAGTGATTTACCAAGGAAGATGCAAAACCTGTCACTGATCGTCGTGTGATCGGACATCTAGCCCAATCCGCATCACAGTAGCCAATCAAATTAAGTTGGTTCTCCGTAGGGAATAGTAACCCTTGTCCTGGTGCTTCTTTCAGATATTGGAGGAGACGATGTGCTGCTTTAAGGTGATGGAGTGTTGGTTCTTGCATGAACTGACTGAGATTATTCACTGTATACGTAATATCTGGCCTAGTGATGGTAAGGTATATTAATTTTCCAACC